ATTCCAAAGATATTTTATTTAGTATAATATTAAAGTACTATTATCTAATTTAAATTAAATTATTACTTTTCTATAATCTTGAGAATATACTACCTTACTATTAGAGGTAATAAAACTATAATTCTTAAAGCTATTTAAATCTTTAATTAGGTTATTAAAGAGATTATAATTATTATATACTATATAGCCTGCTCTAGAGTCATATAGCTACCTATTCTTAAAGGTAGTCAATATTAAAGCTATTAATATATTAACTCTAGATAGTATAAAATTATTAGTATCTAGAATAATATTAGCCTATATAGCTAGACTAATTTAGCTTTAGATTAAATTATTCTTATTCTTTAACTTAAGTAGCCTAAAATACTAAAGTATAGAAGTTAGCCTCTACCCTTCCTTCTACTTATTAATTACTAAATATAGGCAGTTCTTAGTATCATGTTTTTCCTCCTTATAAAATAGATATAGTATTCCTGGTTTCCTAAATTACTTTAACTAGTAGTTAATATAATTTATAATTATTATATTTTATAGTAATATATATTTCTACTATTACTATTATCTTCTTTTATTATTTATTATTAGTTAAGAATTTAGTATATTTATAGCAGGTATGGTAGTATTAAATATAATATTAGATAATAGATTCTCCTGAACTTTATCTTTTACTATATTATATATAGTATAAAAATGCTTCTATATAATTATTTTAATAGGATTATTACCTAGGTTATTTAAGGTTAAATCTATAAAGCTTATATTATTCCTTTCAAGTTCCTAAAGTATTATAGTAACTATTTAATAGGATATAATAACTATTTTTAACCTATTAGAAGTATTTATTTTCTAGATAAAGTTTAATATAAACTTATTAATAATTATATAATTCTTATACTTAATCTTAATAACTTCTCTCTATATCTAGTATATATATCTTTAATTACTATTAATAACTATCCTTTATAACTTCTATATAAAATTATCTATAAAGATATATAAGATAGTATCTATTAATAATTTCTCTACTAATTTCTTACTTATTAAATATAGTATCTAACTAGCTACTATTTATAAAAGAAGTTCCCATAATTTATACTTAGGATTATCAAGTTATAGTCTAGAAATATTACTTTTAAGAAGCTTATCTATCTTATAAAGTCTTAGCTTTATTTATACAAATAAAGCCTAAATTTCAAATTTTAAATTATTTTCCAACACTATTATTAGGCTTAAGTTAAATATACCATTCTTTAGCTTTATTGCTTGATTTCAGCCATTAGTAAATAAGGTAGTAGTCGTCGAAGGTAGGTATAGTAAATTAGGGATGTCAGGATATCTACTAAGGGTAGGTTTAGTTACTATTTTAGTTAAATTATAGAAATTTTCCACACACTATTACCTAGGTGGAGTAACATAACAGCAGTACAGGTGGTGTAACACAACAGCAGTAAGTAATATTTCTACCAGGATCTCTTTCCAATCAGGGAGCAGATTACTATACAGGGGTACAGGAGTATGATAAGAGTTTTAGAGGTCTATAAAGCATAAAATAGAATCTCAAGGAGGGCTCATAACCTGATAAGAGATCATCAAACTATGACAGTAGAAAGTTGACCGAAATGGATTTAATTAGTCTAACTAGAAAATAAAGAGAAGGAGAGATGCTTGGAGGAAGCATGGAGATCTAGAAGGAAATCATAGCCTTAAATACACAGAGTAGTCACGTGTCGCTACTCACTTAATGGCAGTGCTGTTTGCATTGATTGCAGCACTCCAACATGAAATACTGCGGGGGCGCATCCGCGATCTCGAACACGAGGTCAATGCTCAGAAGCATCCAGAGCAGCTATCAACCAATCCGCCTTCTTCTCTTGTAGAAGAAACCAAAGTATTATCGATCACGGAAATGGAAATCTAGAAACAACCCATCTACCTTCCCTCCTTTTTTTTTTCAAAAAAAAAAAAAATATCATTTGCTTCGCACTTTACTAGCCACCCACCCTCTCTATTGCCACCTATTTTTGTTTATAGGTTTGGATGAAATTTTTTGGGCGTTTCTGTTGTTGGGATAAAAAACAATCCCATTTTTGTTTTCGGGAATTCTTTGCTTTCGCTGTCCCCATCACTCCCTCCTCTTCTCTTAGATTCGATGGCCAGGTCTGCTATTTTTATCGAAATACTACTGCCTTGTTCCTGTTCCATATGCTCCAAAACCCAGCGGGTATGGCCCACTGTGGCTGTGCAAGAAGCTCTTGAGGAACGTCATTCCGTCATCGTTCGACTGTGGCGGGTCCTGGCCATCTATAGATAAATACGTGGTGGGCTGCTGCTTCTTTGCTCCTATATCCTTCTTCTTCTTCTTCTTCTTCTTCCTCCTCTCCACTCAGTCCTGTCTTGACGAACTTCCTATCTTCAAACTCATTCCGTATTCTACCATCCACCATGTCGCAACATACTACCGTTCATGTCGAGGGCATCTCCCCCGCCACTACCGACAAGGAAGTTCAAGACTTCTTCAGCTTCTGGTACGTTCCTCACATCGCATTTATTATAATAACCCACACACATGTTAACCCAGGAATAGTGGAAAGATCACATCCATGTCAGTCACTCCATCCTCGGCTGAAGCAGATGCCCCCAAGTCTGCGTCTGTAACATTTGAGAAAGATGCGTAAGTCTTAATACCCCGCACTCATTCCGCCGGTCCCGCCACAATAACGCGCGCCCCTCAAAAAACATCAAACCACCTCACTCACACACATAAATTCCCAGAGCCGCTAAGACTGCCCTCCTCCTCGACCAGACCCAATTGGGCTCCGCCGTTGTGCACGTCAAGGCAGCGCAGACTCTCGATGAGATCGCCGGCTCCCACAGCGCCACCGCCGCCGAGGCCAAGGATGAGAACAACCACACCTCGAGCAAGAGGACAAACCCCGCTCCCGCATCGTCGCAGAGTACCTCGCACACGGCTATGTAATTAGCGACAATGCCATCCAGAAAGCCATCACCCTAGACCAGAAGCACGGGTTCTCGTCGCGCTTCACGGCCCGCCCTGACCAACTTCGACAAGAAGACCCACGCTTCTGATCGCGCCAGAGGACTCGACGAGAGCTATCAGATCAGCAACAAGGCCGCTAGCGGATGGCAGGGCCTGAACAATTATTTCGAGAAGGCTCTGAGCACTCCCTCGGGCCAGAAGCTGCTTGATTTCTACACCCGTACCGATAAGCAGGTCCGTGATATCCACAACGAAGCTCGCAGACTCGCCGACCTGAAGAGCGGCAAGCCCGCAGCCGAGAGCGGCCATGCTGCTCCTCCAGTGACAGAAGCTGCTGCTGCGCCATCAACCGAGAAGGCCTAAATTTTTTTTTTTTTTTTTTTTTCTAAATTAATAAGTTTAAATTGCCCGATGGAATAGTAAAAACTGTTTTAGGTTGGAACTTTGGACGGAAATTAGTTTTGCTAGCATGCATGTTATGTTAATTCTATATCATATTAAGTTCATAGTACTCCGTATTATGAACAACAACAACAACATGCTTTCATTAGCTGGTTGTCTGGAACCACGAAATACATGACATGACATGACATGACAATTTTATCTTCTTCTTCTTCTTCTTCACCCATCATATAAACCAGTATACATAAGACACACACACATATTACTATAATATAATAAAATTTCTCCCCCCCCCTAAGAAGACTGACTTGGGCTGGCGTCAAAGAAAACCTCAATTCCCAACTCCCTTCCGGAACTTCCTCGCCTCGATCTCCTCCAATGGATGCACAGGGTTACTCTCCAACCCCGCCAGCTGCCTCTCCTGCTCCGACATCGACGCCTTGGATGCGTGTTCGCGTGGCTGCGCGGGCCCTGGCCCCTCTTGGTATTATCGTATTCGTCCCTCAGGTGTCCTGAGCAAAAGGGTTCTTGTTCCTCGCGGGATTGGCGAGAGGGGGAGGGGGATTCGCGGCCGGGGTAAGCGCGATGTCATTTTTTTTTTTTTTTTGGTACTGCTACTATGTAGGTACTAGGTACTAAAGCCTGGTTAGATAGATTCGGTTATGTTTTGGTTGTATTTTTACTTACAACGTAGAATAAGATAAGATCGTATAAAATATAGGTAGGTAGGTAGGTAGGTAGCCTCTCACCAAGTCAATTCAAGTAGTATTGAGAGAAACGAGAGAGGGAGCCGGCTTAAAGTATTCCTAGTATACCCAGAATAAAGCTTTGGTGCATCATGATGACGTTGGAACCATATTTAATTCCTCCTTCCAGATGGGTCGGGCTTGTGATTCTTATGGTTCGAGGCTAAACAATGGATCCTTTGAAGTATATGTATGGGATTACTCTCTCGATATTATTTCTGATCTAGGTAGATTTCAAGGTGTAGTCAATTATATAATCACGTCATGATATCTGACTTCAAATGTTCGCTCCTGTCAGTGTTCTTGTCCGTGCAGGTACTCTGTTCTCTTCGTCTTCGTCTTTTTTTTTTCTTCTTTTTTTTGTTTTCTTTTTCCCCCCCAAGGAACAAGAGACGAATGGAAAGGAATCAATTGCTCATGCCAGGATGAAGTATAAAGAAATGCCAATCAACATAAATTAACTCGGGGAATCGGGGTTCGGAGCTCCGTGCAGAAATATGATCAGGGTAGGGGAAACCAGGGACGGGAAATGGGACTTTTAACAAGGATTCGTAAACAGATAAAAGAAAAAATATGTAAAGGGGTCGGAGGGAAGAGGTGGGAAATGCTCTCGAACATTCAAACATTCTAAACGGGAGAGGAGGGGAGAAAGAAGAAAAGAAAGGGAAGCATAGGTCACGTTAGGACGTATCCAGCAGACTGCCTGACAAATGGACAAAACTGTTAACCGAAGCTCCAAACTGACATTGCATATTTTATATCATGACTAACATATCCGCGGCAGCCGACTGAATTCATCTCGTCGGCTCTTTGAGGGAGTTTTGTTTTTCTCGTTCAACGCCATATGTATCGATCTATTGGCCCCCGTTGGCTTGGAGATTGGCGGCCTTGGCGGCCTCTTCGTTTGCCGCCGCCAAAGCTTTGGCCTCGGCTTCATGGAAAACCGCCTGGATAACCTGCTTCTCTTCCTCATTCAGAATGTTTGTCAAACTCTCATAGAGTTGTGGCTTTCTTGTTGCATGTCTGTAATGTATATCAGCAAATGTCTCAAAACAGAAGATAGTTGCGATACGTACTCAGGAAGACTTGGCTTGAACAGGCCGTAGGGTTTCGACCTTGTCCAGAGGCGTCTCGAGTAAGCTCTCCTCATCAAGCTCTTCATCATCGTCGTCCCCGGCGAAAGACCCGAATTTTTGTGCCTGCTCAGTTGTTAGCATAACTGAAGTAAGAAATATAGAGAATTACGAAACACTCACTTCTTTATTCAAGAAGTCAAGATAAGCAGCGCCTCTCATCGGAACATCGCCCTCGGCAATAGCTTCGGCCTCATCCTGCTCGGTCCACTCGATCTCACCATCCCAGTCATTCTCCTCATCGCCTTCATCCTCATCGTCATATGTGAAATCAGACTCCTTGGTTGCATCTTCCCGGTCTATGTACAGTTAG